TTCACTGGTGGCTGTGTGGGCTGTGGGTGACCCCTACTGGCCGGTGTCTGTAAGCGCTGCCCAGCGCAGGGGTGGGGCGGGGCGGGTCTCTGCAGACAGGCTCATAGGCCATGGCCTAGCACAGCGATTCCCGACTTTTTTCCCATGGAGGAACCCCTAAAATAACCGTTCCTATCCCAAGGAGCCCCTACCTATGAGAACGTTTGCTGGCCAGTGGGGAGCACGGTTCAATTCCTGCTACGTTATCGTCAGGAGAATGTATCTGTGAAGAGCTGTTCTGTCGTCAGCTTCCATTGTGAGACGACAATTCTGTATTCCACGATTTCTCGCGGAGCCCCTGCCCATGTTCTGCGGCACCCGGGGCTCCACGGGACCTGCTTGGCAAACGCTGAGCCAGTAGAACAGGGGGGTTATTGCTTCTCCAGGATACAGCGCAGCCTACACGTGGTGCGTCTACAGGAGTCAGGGCCAGGATGCCCCAGCCCCCTTGAGATGGGTCCCTGGGCCCCTAGATTCCAGCCCCCTCCTCAGACTGGTTCCTTCATGATTCCAGCCCCAGACTGCGCCCTCCCCCAACACTCACTTCCTGGTTCCCTCGCTGCCTCCGCTCGTCCCGCGGGCTGGGTCTTTGTCTTCCCTCACAGCCAGAGGCCAGTAGGGGTCGCCCACAGCCCCAGCACCGCGACCAGCGAGGTGCTGACACCACATCCCAAGGTGGGTGTCAGTGGGAATCGCACCCCCCAGCGCAGGGGGACCCGGCACAGAGCAGACCCCCCCCCAGGCCATGGGCCAGTCCTGGCTGGGCCAACACGAGGAGAAGAGACCAGGCTGAGTGCGGGGGGATCGGGGCCCGTGTCCCCGCCCCAAGGGCTCTGAGGCTGCCTGCCCCCTTCCCCTTTGTCCACAGGGCACCCGGGCTGGGCTGTCTCGGAGCAGCACTGACCCCTCTGGCGCAGACCCATCCTGCTGCGGACGGGGGGCAGGGGCGGGGGTCCCCGATGCGCTGTCATAGCTGCCCCCAGGGCAGGCTGTCTGGGTGGGGCTTGACCTGTTACCCTGCCAGCTCTGTGGCTCAGCAGGGGAGGACAGCACCCGGGGCAGCACCTGGGGCCTGATGCTGGTGCTGGCACCTCTCGCCATGTGGCACGCAGATCCTGGGCCTGCCAGTCCGTTGGCAGCCATGGCGGGGAGGGGGGGCGGGGGGGGGGGGCAGGAGCAGTGAGGAGGGGCTGTGCCCCCCAGCCCCTTGGCAGCCATGGAGGGGAGGGTGTGGGGCAGGGTCCCCGGGGGCACATGCTCTGTGGGGTTGCCTTGGCCTGGCTCATCCTTCAGCCTGTTCCAGGGCACTCGGCTCCAGCCCAGGTTCCTTGCAGCTTGGGCAGAGCTGGGCCCAGGGCAGAGCCCGCAGCAGCACTCCCGGGGCTGGCTGGCCCCGCTCCCG